GCGGACTCAGACTTTGAAACTGAGAGGCGGGATGAGATCTCAGTTCACCTCCTCAAATCACCGGGCTGATCCCGACGGAGCAAGAACGTGAAACCGGGGCTCCAACGCTGTCCTCAGGAAACTGTTCCTTCGCCCAAGCCTCAGAGTCGGAGGCGGCCCCGCGGGCGGGCTAAGGCCTACGCAGGCTGCTAAAGGCAGGGCCCTCGGGCAGCGATCAACAGCGGGCACGGTCACAGGCAATACGTGACAGTCCTGCCAAAGTGCCCCAAGCAAATACCCACGTTTCCGTTTAAGTCAGCCCAACAGACAGCTACTGAACACATGCTGCGTGCGGTCACTGCCTGGTCACACAGGGCTGTCCTCGCCACCTGCTGTGACCCCCTCCCCAGTGTGAGGGCGAGACCTTGACCTGCCTTTAAAACCAGACCGCGGCAAAGTGACAGGGTGTGTGTATCATGTGCACGTGACTGTGAGGTTCCGTGACAGGAGACCGCAGTGCCTGTCTTGCTGGAGTCTCTCTCCACTACTGCCTGTGAAGAAGCGGGAGCCATACTGGGGACTCTATGGAACAAGGGGCTGGGGGGAGTTCTAGAAGCAGAGAGGGCCTTCAGCCAGCACCCAAGGGAACGTGGAGGGGCCCCTCTCCAATGCAGCCCCAAGAGCCTGCCGCTCTGACGGCCACCCGACCACCTTGAGGGATGCCCGAGCAGAGGACGCAGCTCAGCCAGGCCTCTACTGCCGACCTACAGAAAGTGGGAGACAGCAAGTGTGTGTGGCTGTAGGTCACTAGGACTGCGGTAACATTGTTGGGTAGCCATAAATAACTGACACCCAGCTCCTCAGTCTCTCCTGACCTTGAAATCTTTGTGAAAAGCCCCTCACACTGGGTGTGTTTGTGTGACAATCTCTCAGTCTAATCACCACAAACAGCTTCAGCTTTTTGGCAGGATAAGAGGTGAATAATGTTGTGTCGTTCTCTGTATAACCTATGAAAAGGTGCAGATGGTTGCCCTGTCCCAGAATATGTGATGCAAAATGGGTTGCTTGGTTCGAGTATCCACAGGCCCTTCCTAGTAATGACAGCTGCCTTCTTCCCGGGCAAACTGGCAAGGAGCTTGTGAGAAGCTACGTCATGGGAATAGCACACTCTTCACCTAACGCTCACCCACTCGTCCGGCAACGGTTAGTGGTTTTCCAACCGCGCGATCCCTCCTGCATCGCTGGTGTCACGCTGTGGCAAGGCCCGGTCCCTTCTCTCCCGTGTCTGTGCTTGTCCAGCTATTTATTGATATCAGTGAGCAGCCCTAGTAAATGGCTTGCGATGTGTTACTATCACTATATATTCTGATAGTCACAGTTTCCCAGATTTGTCCACTGGAAACCCCCTTAAAACTTAATGCCTGTGCTTCTGCTATGTTGGCATCATTTCTAAGCCTTTCTTATTTGGGGGCAAAACAGGATTTCCCAGGTCCATTTTGTGCTTTCCCTGTCCCAGACCTCGATCTTTTCTCCAAAGTCTCCTGGTTTCTTTCAAAATGAAGGATGGTATGTAGTAACCAAAGAACGGGCACTCAGTGTACTCATTGCTAGTGGAATGTCATGGCTTCCAGCATCTCTCAGTGACAGGCCTGGAATATGTATATTTAACAAAATCCATGCAAGATGTCTGCATCAAAAGCTGAAGACATTGCTGGGAGAAATTTTAAAAGACTGAAACGGGTTGACGGCAGGGCTCTATCGTTGTGACGTCAGTTATAGAGATGGTTTTGCTGAGGATCTCACAGGGTCGCAATCAGATTACCGGCTGGGGTTGGGGTCTTATCTGAGGCTGGTCTGGGGAAATGCCGACTTCTGAGCTCACACAGAGCGTGGGCAGCATTCAGTTCCTTGAAGTTGCATGACTGAAGGATTCATTTTCTTGCTGGTTCAAGTCCTTGAAGGCTGTCCACTGGCGGCTGCCCATAGGTCTTAGAGCCTGCCTGCGCTTCCTTGTCACATGGGATTTCTCTACATCTCTCTCTCTCTCTCTCTCTCTCACACACACACACACACACACACACACACACACTGAGTTTTTAACCTCCAATTCCATTTTAACACCACAGTGTACCTTCTAGTCTTTCCCCTTCAACAGTGAGAAACATGGGTCCCCTTTTATATGCCAATATGTTATTTACTTAATTTTCCCAAGCCTAGAGTGCGTAGGGAAGGCTTCACTTTTCAGAAGCCTTCATGGTTTCGGATCATTTCAAATCTGACATCACTTACCATGCATTACTTCACACTCTACTCCTTTACTTGCGGTTGAGGTTACTTGCCCACCACGGGAAAGTTTCAGAGAAACTGAAGTTACAAAAGGACCCTTATTTAATGCAGGAAGCAGCAAATTGTATTGAGGGATTGGAAGACACTTTAAAAGTTCTCATGCAATCAATTTAATTGTATGTTTTTATGCAGCAGTAATTTCTTACATTGTTGCCTAGAACATTTTGAAAGGAGTTCGCTCAAAGTGTGCAGCGAAGTGCTCTTGGTACATAGCTCTGCTAATAGCGTCCTTCACAGGTTGCGACATATACAGGGCCAGGTTTAATTCTGCCAAGAAAACAATCAGTTCACCAAAAAATACAGCCCACGCAAAGGGCAAGCGCGGTCCAGGGATGCGAGGACGAGGGCAAAGCCAAGGGAGACCCGGATCCCTCTTTGTACGGCGCTGTAAGGAGAGGACAAGCAGGGTGGGAAGGCCGAGCCCGTTCAAAGGGACACATTTGAAGTTGAGGGGGATGGATTCCGGTTAAACATAAATGACGAAATAATGTGAAACTGGGTGGGCTGGCTTCTTCTCCCCGGCCCCCTGGTGCCCCCCGTGGTCTCTGGTGAAGTGGTCGCACACAAGCCGTCATGGCTACTCCGCTTCACTCCTTTCTTCTACAGAAAATCTTTTCCCAAGTCATGAAAAGGCGGTGTTTGAGGCAAAGGCACTTCCTTTATAATTACTACTACTGTTGTTATGATTAACACTGAATACAAGAAAGGCCGCGTTGGATCACCCGCAGACCTGTCCTGGCGCCCCCACTGTTGTCTCCGGGCGCGCTAGGTGGCTGGGGCGCTGGGAACCACCGCGCCCGCTGGGCTCGGAGAGGGTGTGCCCGCTGCTCTGAGACCAGTGCCGGCGGGGGCCGCAAGGCGCACGGTCCTCGTTCGCCCAGGCCCCGGGAGAAGCGCCCGCGGCGGCGACACCTCTCCCTCTCGGGAAACGCCCCCTGGCTAGCGCTCCCTGGACTGCGGATGGGTGTCCACGTCGCGACCTCCCCTTTCCTAGAGGGGGACACTCGCGATCACACCCGTCACCTCCGCGCGACCCGGAGCCCGCTCGGAGCGCAGCGCACCCCAGCGGTCGCGTGCCGCCTTCAGGCCTTGGCCACCGGGCTTCCGGAGAGCTCGCCAGTCGCCGCGGCGGCGGCCTCGGAATCAGCACTTGCGAGGCGGCAGGAGCCGGGCTGGGCCGGACTCCCGGAGGCGCGGTTGCGGTTCCGGCCTAGCTCGCCGCACCTGGAGCCTGGACCGGAGAGGCGGGGCGGGGCTGCAGCCTGGCCCAGCGCCCGTGCAGCTCGCCGAAGCCGGCCTGACCTGAGCGAGGCGCGGGGGAGGGTCTCGAGGCCGAGTCCGTAACTCGAGGGAGGGACCCCAGCAGGGGTGGACCCGGCCCCCGCGAAGCACTGAGGCGCGGCGCGGGCATGGAACGCGCGGGCCCCCGCCCCGCGCGGCCGCGGGACCCCAACGCGGTGGAAGCGTGGCTGGACGATCACGGGGACTTCGCCTTCTCTTACTTTGTGAGGAAAGCCTCCAGGTAAGAAGGGGACCCGCGGCCGACCCGGCCGGGGCGTGGAGCCCCACCTGGGCTGACCCTCCTGGCATCGTCCCCGTCCTTCACCACTAACCAGCCTCGGATCCCGGGCCTTCACTTTAAAACAGGTCCTCGGTCTGTTACGGTGCAGAGACCTCGACTTTAAGGCGAGCGCAGTGTAGGAACCCAGGCGTGGGATTGGATCCAACTTGCTCGCAAAGTTCGAATGCAGAAATGCCCGAGCGCCCGGCCCCCGCTGCCCGCATCCCCGGGGAGCTGGCCCCGTGTGCCGCGCTCACGGCCTCTCGCAGCCCTGTCCACCCCCCGGAGCCCTAAACCTCCGCAGCGAAACCAAAACAGCCTGAGCCCCTTCCCTGCAGCTCCGGAAGCACCGTTCCCAGCCCGGTCCCAGCGGCTGCGCTCCTCCCCCGTCCCCCTCTCCCCGGCCTAGCGGGGCGGGGAGCCGGGAAGGGGGCGAGACGGCGGGGCAGCCCCGGGGCAGCGACGTGCAGGAGCCTTTCCCGAGTGAGTGCTGGGGCCGTGTCCCCCTCCAGTCCCCAGTGTCCCGCGCCTCCTTTCGCTCTCTCCTGCGCCCGAGGCGGAGCCGCGGACCGGGATCCGGGAGGGGTGGCGGCGCGGCGTGGAACGGACCCGGGGGCGGGCGGGTCCCGGGCGGCCCGAGCGACCCCAGGGCCAGCTCTGCCTGGTCTGGAGCCAAGGCCGGCGGCCTGGCGGAGGGCGGGGGCGAGCTGTCCTCTGGGAGGCGGCCGCGGGCTTGAGGCGCGCGTGGGAAACACTCGCAGAGCCTGGGGAGGACCAGAGGCTGGAGCCGAGGGACCGGAGGGGAGCGGAGAGTGCGTGGGGCGTGGGTCCCCGAAGCCTGCGGACGCAGCGCGGAGCCGGGACGCCGACAAGGCTCCTGCGCGCGCTCGGGCTGGCTCTGGGACGACCCTTCGGGAACGGCCCTAGCCGGCGCTGGCCCCGGGGCCGGAGGTGATGGTGGGGGAGCCGGCCGGGGCTCGGTGCGGGGCTCCCACCCGCCGGCGCGCAGCCGCCGCTGTGCCGGGCGCTCCCCGCCAGGGGGCGGCGCGGCGCGGGGCGAACGGGCGGCGGGGGCGCTAGGGGAACCGGTTCCAGTCACCGGCCTCACCTGGGCGCGGCGTCGCCCCCCGAGCCTGCTGGAGTCCGGGGTCGGCCGGGGCCGCACGGCCCGCACCTCGCCTTCCCGCGTCTGCTATGTTGCCCTTTGGAGACAGAACGAGGTACCTCCCCGGCACCCCCTTCCCACTCCCCGGGGCGCGGCGGGCCGGGGCTGGGTGGCTGGGGATGCATCAGTGAGGGGTGGACCTTGTGACATTTGGACCTCGGACCTCCTGGACTCTGTGGGGCATCACTTTGCAGCCGTAGATGCTCTTTTTAACCCCGTTACTCCCAAGGCACGTCCAGAGCTGGGGTCGACTTAACCACTGTTGGGGTTTCAGGGAGGAGCACTTGGGACTGAGCTCATCTCTCTGCGTTAATTACTGTCCCCCTAGACGGTCAGTCTCCTTCCCGGCTCTCGCCTTCTCCCTTGGAAGCCCCACGTCTGGAGCGCTGAGGGGTTTACGGAAAGCAGGTTCTCTCCCAAGGGCTCTCTGCGGGTTGGGGGTGAGTGCGAAGACCGGGGTCTGGAATTGTCCATTGCTGCCCGCGACCCTTTTCAGAAGTCCCTGCTACCCCAGGCCATCTGCCCTGCTTCCGGTCATCTTCACACGCTCTGCCCCCCGCCTTGGCCGAGTTACAGTGTCCAGGCTGGGGAGTAAGCAGGGGGACGGGGCTGGTTTGTTAAGTGTAGGGGGTATTTTTAGTCTGATTATTAACAGTTGCAAGAGACAAGTTATTGTCTTAGGAATCAGCCTAAGTGCCCTTTTCTCTTCCTCCTCTCCATTTAAAGGCAAAAGTAGGGCTGCCTGCCGGGGACTTCAGCTAGTCGCACCGAGCAGCGCTCCCCTTCCAGAGCCTGCCCGAACTTTGGAAGTAGTGTTTTAGTGGGAAAGAAATCGAAAACGGTGGTATCTTTCTCTTCATGTTCCATTTGCTTCCAAGCAGCACAGGATGAAAGCCCTAATTCTCAGAAGGATGTTCCTCAGTGTCAAACGCAGGTCGTCCAAGGCTCCGCACGTTTTCCAGGCAGGGTTCTTGAGGTCCAGCTGCTGGGAAGGCAGGCCACACCTTCCTGGGACCTGCGTGTGTCTGTGCGTGGTCACTCTTGCGAGGAGAGTTTATGCTACGTTCAGGCTGGAAAACGAAAGTATAAAATAGTTGCGAGCACTTCAGGCTCTGAGCTTGAGGAGTCCCAATGCGCTGGGGTTGTCAGTGTGCAGTTGGGCGTGCTTCATGAAACAATTGTCCAGTTTGGGTTTGTATTAGGGGGCATTAACTTAAAGAAAGAGGCCTGCGGTAAAGATGAGAGATTGGAGAGTAGTCGCTTATAAAATTGCCAGGCTGCTAAGCCTGGCGTGATTCCCTTGGTTGTGGTAAAAGCTTAGAGCAGACATTTTAACTTCACAGCTAAGATACTGATTTTTAACTAGAAGCTCACACTCCTTTGCTTTGCCCCCATTTGCTGCATGCTGTGAGTGTGAATGAAAACGTAGGCGGCTGAGGAAACCCCCGAATCAGGGGACCTGCGGGGGATGTCGGCGGCCACCCGTGCCTGGGAACGAGCATGGCAGTGGAACTCTTCCCCACCGCTCCGTTGAATGGCCGGCTTCCGCCTGGCAGGCCTGCCTCTCTGTCCCTTCCCCGGACTGAATGATCTGCACCCAGTGGCAGACGTGGAGCGAATGGATGTTCTGGCCCATCCCCGATTCCCCGTTAAACGCCTGGGAATGGGGGTCACCCTTGTGCTTCCCATGGTAACCTACCTTCAGATACAGAGGGAAGCGCCTCATTGAGAGCGACAGATGAGAGCGTAGGCATTGGTGCTGTTTGGCCCTGGCTGGGAAGCTTAGCTGGTTCGAGCGGCATCCAGATATGCCAAGGTTGCGGGTTCGATCCCCAGTCAGGGCATGTACAGGAAGCAGCCAGCGAATGCATCAGTAAGTAGAACAACACATTGACATCTCTCTCTCCCCCTCTCCTCCCTCTCTCCTTTTCCTCCCTCTCTCTTCTTCTCTCTCTCTCTAAAATAAAAGAAATAGATGCTGCTTAGTAACTACAAGCTGTACATGTGAATTTGAGTGTCAGTTGAACAACTCAGAACGCAATGTATTGGCATAAAAAATAATCAGAGACTTGTCACCGGAGCATATGGAAAACTCCCACCCTCTCTGTCAGAGAGGAGGTCGCACTGGTAATTCAGGGCTCGAGTGCCGGCTGCTCAAACGCCGCCCCCGCTGCCGACTGGACTGCGCTGCCAGCCGCTGTCGTCCTGGACGGCCGGGCCCAGTGGTTGCCTTGCCCAGGCTGCCGCGCGGCGCCGCAAGCCGGGCAAGGTCTCCTACTGCGCCGGAGCGCGATTGGTTTTTTATTGCTTTGTTTTGTACTAGGCAGAACTAGGCAGAAGCCTGAGAATATTTGGCATCGACTGGAAAGAGGAGATATTAAGTGAGGACTAGTTTTTATGGCCGCCTGGATCAAAGTCCAGAAACAGAACTTTTCCGCCCCCGTGTCGTCTTCCGTGACAGACTCCTACCCGCCGCGGCAGCGCTGGCCAGGGGCTCACGTTCGGGGCCCCTGCTAGGGGCTGCCTTTCTTGTCTCCCTTTTTCCTCTTTCTTTTGTAATTTTTTCACCTCGAAAAGTTGTAACATTTCTATTTTTAAGGTGTTTATAGTAAAACAGATGATGGGTTGCATATAAATATTGCTATCCACTCTTAAAAATGACTGTTTCTGTGATGATATAGGAATATAAACACCACGGGTTTCAGGCATTGACATGGCTGGCATATTTGGTTGCATTAGTCACTGGTGTAGCAGAGAAGAAAACTCTGTGGGCATCCACTCAGTCGACTTGGATGTTATTTAGAATGCAGGATGGGGCAAAAGTGGGCTTACAGTTGTTCATACGGAAAATTATACAATAATTATTAAAAAAGTACAAGAACAAACTCCTGTACTCACAACCGTACGTCTACTTTTGCCCCACCCTGTATTTTTATGATGGTAATTCTGGTGCAGTAACAGCCTTTTTGCTTGTGTTGTTCATAACCAGGGTACACACAGCCGGCTCTAAGCTGCCACTTAGTGACCTCGCCACGCTCGCGTGGGCTGCCTGAGAGGCTGCAGCACCCCCGGCGTGCGTGTCCCACTGCCCTTGCACCCCAAGGTCCCCCCTTCAGATCCCCTGAGAGCCACGCAGGACCAGGTCGTGGCTCCTGAAGGTGTGGTCGGACGGACGCAGCGGCGACTAGGCAGAGACAGGTCTTTGGAAACCAGCCTCTTCGTGCAGCGTAGCACACATGTGAACAGGCCTGTAGTGCCCCGCCCCCCCTCCCTGGGAGCTTCTTTCCCCTTCCAGTTTGCGACCTGAAGATGTATAGAAATCGCCAGTATTTTCACAAGGTTGTGTCTTCAGCATGTCAAGAAGAGCAATTTCTACCACCTTAATTATGTTGTGTAACAAAATTTCCTGTTTAAAATATTCCACCTGACTAGATGAGGTGACTCTGGTCTCTTCGATCATTTCTTTTAAGGTATTTGAAACTCCCTCCAGGTTGCGTAGACACACGTTGTACCTTCGCCCTTATCTGATGGCAGAGGATGTGTCTTGCTGCCTGGTCCCCTCCTCCAGATTTGAAAGACCGATTATCTTAGTGCTTCGGTTGAACTTCCTAGTGCATTTTAATAATACCCGGGAAAGATTTCTTTCATAATGGAAAAGGCTAAACAGAACTGCTTGGTATTTTTTAGTTTATCCCCCAAACATTTTCAACCTAGTCATTTATTAACCCCACAACTGCTGTGACAAGTTAGACTTGTTCTCTGTTCTCAGAGCTGATTGCAGGCAACAGGCCTCTTCCTAGGACAAGGGCCTTTCGTGAGGCCGGCAGGACAATTACCTAAATCACCGAGCCGATTGACAATGGAGGGCTGAAAAATGACTAATTTCTGACTTTAGGATGCAGACCAGCTGCTGGCTATGCAGGACTTCCTGAGAAATTAGTTTTGCTGGACAGATGTGGATCCAGTTGACCCGTGTTACAGCCGACGGATGGGGCCTTGGAAATATTTGTTGTAACATGAGGTTCTCAGTGCAAAGAGCCAGTCAGCTGCATTCCTCGGAATAGGAATTGAAGGAAGCCTCTCCACATGAGTCAGCCCTTTGATTTGTAGCTCTGTGACCTTATTAACTGATGTGGAATTCTCATTTCGTTCCGAATTCTATATACGTACATATTTTATGATGTAAGCGCTTTGTTCGTCTTCTCTAAATGGTAGAAAGTTATACTTATTGACAAACAAATGTTTAAAGGAGGCAAAAATGAGTGTTAAGTTCATTAGAGTCATTCTGCTAAGTATTTTAAAAAGCTTGTAAACACACGTGTTTCTCAGGCTTTCAGTTTGAAGTGAATGTGGTTTTCAAAGCCTTCAGTGCCGTTGTTAGCCTCTGTATTTTTTGAGACTTTCCCCTTGAATCTGTACAGTAAGGTTAGCTTTTTGCAGATCATTTTTTTCTGAATAATTTTATTACACCCAAACTTGAGAGGCCAAAGAACCCCATTTATATCCTCCCCTTAGTGATAATTAGAAACAGTAAGAATTATCATTTCTACTTCCTGTGGAATAGTCATGCTGAGGTTATAAGGAGAGAAAAGACCCTGATCTTTTCAGCGGATGAGATAATTGAAGCGTGCGAGCACGCACGCGCGCATGCACAGGCAGGCTTGTTGTCTTTTAGGCAGAGAGGGGATCGTGTGATCCAGGATTTCTCAAACTTCAGTAATACGTCCCTGTTAAAGAAAGACATTCTTACTGGTCTCCATGACAGCAGCTAGAAAGCTTTGGGTCACCAGGGACAGAAACCCGGCCAGGGTCCCTACAGAACTGATTCACATCATGAAGTCCCCGCGGGTTGGTTTGGCTGTGAAACTCAGCTGATCAGATAATCTTGTCAAGACCCTGTCTGTTTCCCTGTAGGTCTGTTGAATGTATCTGTCCTTCCTCAGGCCGTCCATCCATCATCCCTCATCCATCCACCTTCAGGCCCTGGGCTTTGTTGGCTTTATTCTCCTGTGCGTTCTCTTCATGTGCTGACAAAGTTCCTTCTTGGCAAGATTA